AAAATTGTATAATTGTTTATATAACATACTGACAACTTTTTTTTTCTTAAAAGAATCCTTTAAGAATAACATGAGCTCTAAACTGGTGGTTACTGTGAATCTCTTCAATCTTAAGTACATTTCACTGAAGGTTTGAAAGCCATTTTTACAGCAGTTAGTTTCATCTATTTAAAAATGTGAAAGCTTTACTAAAAATCTTTTTTGCTGCCACAAGGATTTAAATCAATGCTAGGATAAGAGAATGTTCTAAAGGAATGCAAAGGGTCCCCTGGGAACTGTTTATAGGAGCTTTTTGTAGAATACTATTTAATTGATCCTTATATAAAACAGAGCTTCTTTTGGCCATTTGTCTATTCATTTATTTTAATATTTGTTTAATATTTACTGTGTGTTCACCCCTGGATAGGCCTTGTGGTATAAAGATTAATGACACCTTTTTTTGACTTGAAAAAGTTTCTTCTCTACTAACGGAGGTCTTCACATTAGCAAATAATCAGAATACAACATTCTTGTTCTAAAGAAAGGTAGGGATAGAAGCACAAAAAAAGGGCATGCCTAATTTTGTTATCAAGATATTGGGAGCAACTTTGGGGAGGGAATGACATCTGAGTTGAAAGTTGAGGAGTGATTAGCGGTCATCAGGGCTGAGGGTGGGACATAACTGGAATAGTTACATGAGACTGGATTTCACATCATAATAAAGAGCTAGACGATTTCCTTGGAGACAAAACTAAAAAGGGACAGGAGCTCTTTCATGTTAGAATACTTATAATGTTAGAAGAGGAAAATTACAGAGTTAAACGCTGAGAAGAAATCAGGTAAAATGCTCTATTATGAAGGGGATAAAAGAATACATGTGTTTTCAAGGATGTGCTTCTTGTAAGCAACATGTAATTGGGTTTTGTTTTCTTATCCAGTTTGACAACTTTTATATTCTAATTAGAATATTTAGTTCACTTACATTTAATATAATTATTGATACATTTTGCTTTATATCTATCATCATAATATTTGCTTTCTTTTTGTTTCTTCTGTTCTATGTTCTGTGTTCTCTCATTTCTTGTTATCTTTTGGATTTATTTTATTATTATTAGTTTTCTAATTTCTTCCCTCTATTAGCTTAGGAAAACAAAACAAAACAAAACAAGAATACATGCTGTTTTTCTTCCCACAAAATTCCAAGTACTAGATCTGGAATTTTAATTCACAGAGGCAATTATCAAAGGAGGATGTGTTTCCCAAGTCTGTATTATTATTATTACATTGAATTACCCTTGAGAAGACATAAAGGGTAAAAGCAAAAGAGATGGAAGACGGTTTAGCTAAATCCATAGGTGATTGCTACCCACACTTATATCCAAAAGCTCTTTGGATGAAGCCACAGATAACAGGAATACACTTCCTAATTTCAGAGTTTGACCTTTTAGATTGTAACTATGAAGATGCACGTGTTGATTGGCCCCAGAAAACTGGATGGATGACCTATTTTGAGGTAACATTTTCATGGGGTTTTTTTTTGGGCTGCGCCGTACGGCTTGTGGGATTTTAGTTTCCTGACCAGGGACTGAACCTGGGCCCTCAGCAGTGAGAGAGCAGAGGCCTAACCAATGGACTACCGGGGAATTTCCTCAGGTTCTTCACTAATATTCCAATAAATGTATTTCATTACTAAATGATCATTTGAAGAATTATAATATGACAATTTATAATTATGAATTTTAAGGGCTGCATAACACTTCCTGATGCAGATACCATTACTAAAAAGCTCTATTTTTATTGGCATTAGTAATTTCCAGATTGCTACTTTTCTCATGGTGACATACATGTGCCTACAAATGTTTGCTTCTGTTGAGCCATGTCTCAAGTGGAAGATTATAGCCTTCTGTTTTTTTTTTTTTGCTGTACGCGGGCCTCTCACTGCTGTGGCCTCTCCTGTTGTGGAACACAGGCTCTGGACGCGCAGGCTCAGCGGCCATGGCTCATGGGCCCAGCCACTCCGCGGCATGTGGGATCTTCCCGGACCGGGGCACGAACCTGTGTCCCCTGCATTGGCAGGCGGACTCTCAACCACTGCGCCACCAGGGAAGCCCTATGTTTTATTTTTAATGTTATTTGAGGATTATATTTGCTCCAGTAATTTCCTTAGATAGTCACTGTCCTAAAATCAATCTGGCTGACTTGAAGAAAGTGATTTTTAGTGAGCTGGAGAGAGAATTGGCAGTAGAGAGTTGACTGACTTTATGCCATGGCGCCTTGACTTCTCAGTGAAATACTGAAGCATTTCATGGGAATGGTGTACGGATATGCTTACTATAATTGTATAAAGTAAATGATAATAAATGACTACAGCTGAATTCAGTCACTAAACCCTCTGGTCCAAAAAGTCTGTCATCAAATGGATGGGAAGAGTAAGTACCCTTAAGGGAGCTCTGTTACTTCCTGGATAGATGGATGGATGTGTTTGGGGAAGTTACCTGGCTACTCTGAGACCTAGATCCTTCCAACTGAGAAACAAGGAGAATCCTTGTTCATAAGATTCAATCCCTGTATTACCTGACATAATTCCTGAGGCATACATATCTTGGAGAAGTGTCAAACGACATCACAAATGTGTCTTCATAAACATGTCATCTAGTTCATGAAATTTACATTGCTACATTTGAAGATTTTGAAAATAAATGTTAATATTACAGTCTATAAAATAGGTCTTTTCTAGAGTATATTTTGATGAAATTACTGACTGTACTACTAGAAGATATAATAGCTAGGCCAGAAAAAATTCATAATTCTTAGTATAATATTTCTGTAGAGAGGAAGAATATCTTTATTTCTTCTTTTATCACAAATATTGCAAACATTTTTTTTACTTCTGTTTAGCGAAATACCTCACACTTCCCAGAGAGGAGAATTTCATTCAAGATACTCTGTAAGTTTAAATAGTATTGCACTTCTCATTGATGTATTAGAATATGTTACGAGAGACAGTGCAAAAATCCTAAAAAAATAAGTATCAGATTGAAACTATTTTGAAATACATATATGACTTTTTATATTTTAATCTTGCAGGTCTCTGTATTTATTCTGTCAAAGGGAAGTTTTCTTGCATCAGGGAAATTAAGATAAATTCTGTTCCACAGATAGTTGCCAGAATGTGCCTGAGCTCCGTAAGTAATGCTAAGTCAGTGGGAGGAGAAGAGTAAAGGACAATATCTCCGGAATTTTTCTCTCTCACATGAAACTCTAGCTCTGAAAAAGCTCCCAAAATGATTTAGTTCCTATTTCCATAAACACAATCTTTAGAGGCTCAGCCACTTTTTCAGCAAATCCAAAAATAAACCCAGTCTCTTCAACTAGTCACTCCTCACTTAATATTTTGAAATATGATACAGTATAATGTTTTCCAAAGTTTGAATACAGACCAAAATTTTAAAGTAATTGCTACCATTCCATTCAGCTAAGGAAAGAAAAGTGCATAATAATAGAGCATATATATCTATAAAAAGAAAAAGCAAAATGTATAAAAAAGTATAGGCTGTAATGTCTTGGAATTGTAGTCATTGGATTTCAAACAATTTTTGGGGAATTTTAAAGAAAATCATACTTTTGCTATTGAGGTTTATTCAGTCACTCGGAAAGATACACATGGTGTTTGGAAACAAAGATTTAGTCCTCATATATATATATATATACATATATATAAAATATATATGTATATATATAAGACAAATTTGAATTATTTCAGAGTCTCACTCTAAAGTTTACTCGCAGTAGTATTTCCCATTTGGGCAACAAGATTCAACAAGCAGATTATTTTCTGAAAAGTTGATTTCCTTCTCAGAACTTGGTCTCATACTAAGATTCATTTATCAATATGTAGAATACTAAAGTATGATTCGGTTGCTAAAAAAGTAAAGGCATTAAACTTATTAAATTTAGTTGAACCCAAGTTAACACACTTTTTTCTTTTTCCTCTCTGTCACACACCCAGCAGATGTCATTTTTCAGAGCTGTGATCCTGTTACATCCAAAGACATTTTAAATAAGTGCTATTTAATGCTTCAAAAAAATAGGAAGGGTAAGCATGGAATCTTTTTGATATAGAGGACAGAAGAGTGTGCGTTTTTGCAAAGCATCGTAAGGAAACAGGTGACTGAATCATTTCTCCCTCTCTCTTCTCTCGCACACAGGACCCCTCATTTCCTGTGTCCTGTTCACACATTCTTCCTGAGGTTCTTTTCCTTCTCCTGACAGCAAGTGAGAACACAAACATTCTTATGATCAGTCTAGAAGTGGCCAGCTCTCCTCCTAGGCTGCAGGTGGGGGAAGGGAGCTGAAGAGTGTGAGAGGCAGTCAGGGCTGTGGGGGAGCGATGACAATAAATTACTGAGGTGACTTAGATCCCAGGTCATAGTCTATTCTCTGCAGTATTCAGACTTCATCAAGGAAAAGCTGAGCTAGACCAAGTCACAAAATGCCCCAAACTAAGAAAACTAAGAAAATCATTAGACATACTGAGCTTGATACACATTTATTTAGCACTGATTTCTTGGTGAAGGCGAGGTATGATCCACCAGCATTAGTCCACACAGCACCCAAGAAAATTAGAAAAAGGCACCCCCTTTGGGCAGACACACCTAGGTAGAACACATGGTTTGCAAGTGGGGCTGGGCTGGTCCCAACATCCTCTGGTGGCCTCAAGCAGAGTATAATCTGAACAACTGGACATGGGGATCCTATTTACATAGATCTTTCTCTTTAGTGCTTTACAAATCATAAGACAAGAATAATATAACTAGAACATGTATTTACAATCATTGCAGAGTAGTATTGTGTCAGACTGAGAATGTAAGATTTTCATGAGCAAATACCAACTTCACTCAGTACAAACTCAGGTGAGCATAAACTGATACTTGATACCGATTCCCTGTAATAAAGTAGTCAAAGAGCAACGAATAAAAGTCACTCTCCTTGTTCATAATAACAGGAGAGTGAATACTTACCACCATCTTCAACTGTAAAATGGAATATGTCACTTGTGGCATTAGCCCCTTCTCTCAAGACGTAGCATATTTTCATATCATCAATGTCAGCTAGAAAAGAACCAAATAAGAAGATGATTAATTACTAGGGCAAAACTGGTGACTCATCATTTATGGTAAATCCTATTGGCTATTACTTTTCTGAACCATGTTTAGATCTCCTTCTTCTCCTAAGGGAAAGACTGCTATCCTATTTCTCATATCTCTAAGCCCCTTGATTTCAGCTGTCCCTTGGAAATCTGATCCCTTACAGATAGAATGCAAGAGCTAGGTTATAATAATAGCAAGGTGTTGCCCTTCCCAATAGTATTCGCATGTTCATGCACCAAAGGAGTGACTATCTAAATACGGAATGTCAGACTCCATGACAGGTGGAAAGGGAGATATTTTGAGGCATGGCAGATTTCCTGGCACTACTGAAATCACACCCTTTGCCTCCCTGTAGGACTGGCCCTAAGAGGAAAGAGGTTCCTCGGCTCTACCTCAGGCTAACTTTTCTTACCTCTCATGGTATAGCAGGCTGCTTTTAAGCTCTCCAAATTTTTAAAAGGAAAAATGAAGAAAATATTTTTTTAAAAAATCCCACGGATTGAAATTACTATCATGACCCAATGCCAAAGAGAACTTAGAAAACATCAAGTGAAAGCTGAAACCTTTACTCAGAGTGAAAAGTTATTCTGCCTCGGAAACGCTTTTTCTAATGTTTTCTATTCTAGCTATCAAATTCAGTTTGTTTTCAGTGTTGACTGAAATACAATTTAAAAATGTATTCATCCATTTTATCAGTTTTTCTCCTTAATGATGCCACACAGACAACATAATAAAACAAACATCATTTTGTTCAGTGATACTCACAGTAGACCTCTATTGGATCTGGGCCAATCAGCAAGTAGTTATTTCGAAGGTTACATAAAACCAAGATCATAGCTAAAAATTGCTTCAGCAATAGTATGTGATATTTATTTGTCTCGTGTGTGTTCTATGGTTTATTCATCTCCTAAGATCTCTCATAAGTTCATGCTATGGAGTTTAAAGGCATTACATATAAGAAAATGATTTTATGGAGGACTTCCGGGAAGATGGCGTTAGAGTAAGACGCGGAGATCACCTTCCTACCCACAGATACACCAGAAATACATCTACACGTGGAACAACTCCTACAGAACACCTACTGAACGCTGGCAGAAGACCTCAGGCCTCCCAAAAGGCAAGAAACTCCCCATGTACCTGGGTAGGGCAAAAGAAAAAACAGAGACAAAAGAATAGGGATGGGACCTGCACCAGTGGAAGGGAGCCGTGAAGGAGGAAAAGTGTCCACACACTAGGAAGCCCCTTCGCGGGCGGAGACTGCGGGTGGCGGAAGGGGGAAGCTTCGGAGCCGCGGAGGAGAGCGCAGCCACAGGGGTGCGGAGGGCAAAGCGGAGAGATTCCCGCACAGAGGATCAGGGCCGACCGGCACTCACCAGCCCGAGAGGCTTGTCTGCTCCCCCGCCGGGGCGGGCGGGCCTGGGAGCTTAGGCACGGCTTCGGTCGGAGCGCAGGGAGAGGACTGGGGTTGGCGGCGTGAACACAGCCTGAAGGGGGTTAGTGCACCACGGCTAGCCGGGAGGGAGTCCGGGAAAAGGTCTGGAGCTGCCGAAGAGGCAAGAGACTTTTTCTTTCCTCTTTGTTTCCTGGTGCGCGAGCAGAGGGGATTAAGAACGCTGCTTAAAGGAGCTCCAGAGACGGGCGCGAGCCGCGGCTGAAAGCGCGGACCCCAGAGACAGGCATGAGACGCTAAGGCTGCTGCTGCCGCCACCAAGAAGCCTGTGTGCGAGCACAGGTCACTGTCCACACCCCCCTGCCGGGGAGCCTGTGCAGCCCGCTACTGCCAGGGTCCCGGGATCCAGGGTCAACTCCTCCGGTAAAACGCACGGCGCGCCTCAGGCTGGTGCAACGTCACGCCGGCCTCTGCCGCCGCAGGCCCGCCCCGCACTACGTGCCCCTCCCTCCCCTCCGGCCTGAGTGAGCCAGAGACCCGAATCAGCGGCTCCTTTAACCCCGTCCTGTCTGAGCGAAGAACAGACGCCCTCTGGCAACCTACACACAGAGGCAGGGCCAAATCCAAAGCTGAGCCCCTGGGAGCTGTGAGAACAAAGAAGAGAAAGGGAAATCCCTCCCAGCAGCTTCAGAAGCAGCTGATTAAAGCTCCACAATCAACTTGATGTACCTGCATCTGTGGAATACATGAATAGCCAACGAATCATCCCAAATTGAGGAGGTGGACTTTGAGAGCAAGATTTATGATTTTTCCCCTTTTCCTCTTTTTGTGAGTGTGTATGTGTATGCTTCTGTGTGAGATTTTTGTCTGTATAGCTTTGCTTCCACCATTTGTCCTAGGGGTCTATCCATCCGTTTTTTGTTTTTTTAATTCTTTTCCTCTTAATAATTTTTTTATTTTAATAACTTTATTATATTTTATCTTTATTTTATTTTACTTTATCTCCTTTCTTTTTTTCCTTCCTTCCCTTCCTTCCTTCCTCCCTCCCTTCTTTCTTTCTTTCTTTCTACTTCTACTAATTCTTTCTTTCTACTTTTTCTCCCTTTTATTCTGAGCTGTGTGGATGAAAGGCTCTTGGTGCTGCAGCCAGGAGTCAGTGCTGTGCCTCTGAGGTGGGAGAGCCAACTTCAGGACACTGGTCCACAAGAGACCTCCCAGCTCCACGTAATATCAAACGGCGAAAATCTCCCAGAGATCTCCATCTCAACACCAGCACCCAGCTTCACTCAAAGACCAGCAAGCTATAGTGCTGCACACCCTATGCCAAACAGCTAGCAAGACAGAAACACAACCCCACCCATTAGCAGAGAGGCTGCCTAAAATCATAATAAGTCCACAGACACCCCAAAACACACCACAAGACGTGGACCTGCCCACCAGAAAGACAAGATCCAGCCTCATCCACCAGAACACAGGCACTAGTCCCCTTCACCAGGAAGCCTACACAACCCACTGAACCAACCTTAGCCACTGGGGACAGACACCAAAAACAACGGGAACTACAAACCTGCAACCTGCAAAAAGGAGACCCCAAACACAGTAAGATAAGCAAAATGAGAAGACAGAAAAACACACAGCAGATGAAGGAGCAAGATAAAAACCCACCAGACCTAACAAATGAAGAGGAAATAGGCAGTCTATCTGAAAAAGAATTCAGAATAATGATAGTAAAGACGATCCAAAATCTTGGAAATAGAATAGACAAAATGCAAGAAACATTTAACAAGAATCTAGACGAACTAAAAATGAAACAAACAATGATGAACAACACAATAAATGAACTTAAAAATACTCTGGATGGGATCAATAACAGAATAACTGAGGCAGAAGAACAGATAAGTGACCTGGAAGATAAAATAGTGGAAATAACTACTGCAGAGCAGAATAAAGAAAAAATAAGGAAAATAACTGAGGACAGTCTCAGAGACCTCTGGGACAACATTCGAATTATAGGGGTCCAGAACAAGAAGAGAAAAAGAAAGTGACTGAGAAAATATTTGAAGAGATTATAGTTGAAAACTTCCCTAATATGGGAAAGGAAATAGTTAATCAAGTCCAGGAAGCACAGAGAGTCCCATACAGGATAAATCCAAGGAGAAATACGCCAAGACACATATTAATCAAACTATCAAAAATTAAATACAAAGAAAACATATTAAAAGCAGCAAGGGAAAAACAACAAATAACACACAAGGGAATCCCCATAAGGTTAACAGCTGATTTTTCAGCAGAAACTCTGCAAGCCAGAAGGGACTGGCAGGACATATTTAAAGTGATGAAGGAAAAAAACCTGCAACCAAGATTACTCTACCCAGCAAGGATCTCATTCAGATTTGATGGCGAAATTAAAACCTTTACAGACAAGCAAAAGCTGAGAGAGTTCAGCACCACCAAACCAGCTTTACAACACGGCTAAAGGAACTTCTCTAGTCAAGAAACACAAGAGAAGGAAAAGACCTACAATAACGAACCCAAAACAATTAAGAAAATGGGAATAGGAACATACATATCAATAATTACCTTAAATGTAAATGGACTAAATGCTCCCACCAAAAGACACAGATTGGCTGAATGGATACAAAAACAAGACGCATATATTTGCTGTCTACAAGAGACCCACTTCAGACCTAGAGACACATACAGACCGAAAGTGAGGGGATGGAAAAAGATATTTCATGCAAATGGAAACCAAAAGAAAGCTGGAGTAGCAATTCTCATATCAGACAAAATAGACTTTAAAATAAAGACTATTAGAAGAGACACAGAAGGACACTACATAATGATCAAGGGATCGATCCAAGAAGAAGATATAACAATTGTAAATATTTATGCACCCAAAATAGGAGAACCTCAATACATAAGGCAAATGCTAACAGCCATAAAAGGGGAAATGGACAGTAACACATTCATAGTAGGGGACTTTAACACCCCACTTTCACCAATGGACAGATCATCCAAAATGAAAATAAGGAAACACAAGCTTTAAATGATACATTCAACAAGATGGACTTAATTGATATTTATAGGACATTCCCAAAAACAACAGAATAAACATTTTTCTCAAGTGCTCATGGAACATTCTCCAGGATAGATCATATCTTGGGTCACAAATGAAGCTTGGTAAATTTAAGAAAATTGAAATTGTATCAAGTATCTTTTCTGACCACAACACTATGAGACTAGATATCAATTACAGGAAAAGATCTGTAAAAAATATAAACACATGGAGGCTAAACAATACACTACTTAAAAACGAACTGATCACTGAAGAAATCAAAGAGGGAATTAAAAAATACCTAGAAACAAATGACAATGGAGACACGATGACCCAAAACCTATGGGATGTAGCAAAAGCAGTTTTAAGAGGGAAGTTTATAGCAATACAATCCTACCTTAAGAAACAGGAAACATCTCGAATAAACAACCTAACCTTGCACCTAAAGCAATTAGAGAAAGAAGAACAAAAAAACCCCAAAGTTAGCAGAAGGAAAGAAATCATAAAAATCAGATC